GACTGTTCAGAACAAATCAAGAATGACTGGTTCATTTGAATCTTCAACAGCACCTCAGGTCAAGGTTAGAAAACCAGAAGTCACAATGACTGTTCAGAACAAAGCACGAATAATTGGTCCAACTGAACTTCCAATAGGACCTCAGCTCACGTACAGTAAACCAGTGGTCATGATGAGTGTTCAGAAGGAAAGTAGAATGATTGGCCCAACAGTACCTTCTATCAAGTTCCAGAATCAAATCCAAGTAAAATTCGATATCTTACAGTATGGTTCTGCAGTTCTTGTCTTGGTAGTATCAATAATCCTAGTAATCATGTTTTTTTAAGTACTGTACAACTTATCATTGCTGTCACTGTTTCTGTGCCATGTAACAAGTTAACTTTGCAGATGGTTTAACTGCGTCTTTGCATAAAACTACTGAATAAACAGACTAAATTTCGCAACATTAAACAGTTTTAAAAATATTATACTCTAGACAATCAGTTTATTTATGGTGACAATAAATCTGATTCAGCTTTTGTTACATGGGCTTTTGAAATTCTTTTCATCACAAGAATTTATTGACTATTTGCAGTTAATTAGTGTTTGCGATCAGTGTTCACCAAATCAAGGTTGTCAACCATCAGATATACAAGGTTAATCATCTTAATGTACATTGGGTGTCAACTTCTTAGAAACTAGACATCTTGTTTACAAATATCTATATGAGGAATCTTCACTCTTCCGTGGTTAGGATTTCTTGATAGTCATCTTTACGGTAATTGGCTAAAGAAAAAGCAAGTAAAATTAAGAATGGAAACTTTACAGTAACAAAATAATGTGATAATGATTTCATCTTTAAGGACTGGTGATTTGCTGTATGACAAACTAATTGATTTGTCTGGGTAGAGTAATTTGAACTCCGGATAAAACAAGTCCTTGATATCATGCCAAAAACGTCAATCTTCTTGTTCATAATGTATTGACAAACGGCTAACTTTTAAAATAAGAAATTTAAACTCTGAATTGCAGTCTGTTTATTTGCTTATAGTTTGATTAACAAGCATACAGCATTCTACAGTCACTATATTTTATTTCCAAGCAATCTTAAACTTCTTTCAAAGAATGTGTAAAACTTACAAAATGCAGTCCTTTTAAAAACTTGGCAAAAATATAATTACTAATAAAGGAGCAAGCAAGATCATAGTTTTATGTTACACAAATGTAAACCACTTGTGGAAGTGCTGAAGATTGACTACGAAGGTACTATTTGTATTTAAATTCTTTGGATTTGGTGGAAAAGATTTGGTTATGAAATGCTTTGCACTTATTAAAAATGGCAAGATGTGTTTAACAGCAACTAAAAAGCTGTGTCATTTAACTTGAGTACAAGTCTCAATAGTTGGTGCAAAAAGGGAGGGTTTTAGATTCCTGGAGCACTGGGAGCGTTTCTGGGGAAGCTAGGGCCTGTGCAAGTGAATTGGTCTGCAACTGAACCAGAATGGGACCAGCATCCTTGTGGGTGGGTTTGCTGGTTCTGTTTGGAGGAGTTTAAACTAGTTTGGCAGAGGGAAGGGATACAACATTAGTACAATAGGGGCAAAAGCATATTATAGTAAAGGAACCAAGGCAGGAGTTCAGCCATGTTGAGTTTCAAACCATATTGAGTTTCAAGCGATATTGGTGCCACAGAGGTGTGGTTGAGAGAGGGGCAGGATTAGCAACTCAACATTCCGTGGTATAGAATCTTCAAGCAGAATAGGAGGGTATAAAAGTAAGTAGTCTCATATTATTAATTAAGGAGTTAGTGACTACAGTAAAGGAGGACATCATCTTGGAACAGTCTTTGAAAGAGGCTTTATGGGTCCAGATTAGGAATAAAAACAGGAATCACATTTCTTGATGTAAAAGTAATAATAACAGGGTAATTATATTAGAGGATTTCAACTTCCCCAACATTAATTTGAATAATCAATAGTGTAATGAGTTTAGAGGGGATGAATTTCTTAATGTATTCAACTGAGCTCTTTATGTCAACATGTGGAAGGTCCAACAAGGGTTGGTGCAATGCTGGACCTAATTCTGGGGAACGAAGCTGGACATGTGGTCAAGGTGGCAGTGGAAGAGTATTTTAGTGAAAGTGATGAGAACACATTTTAAGTTTGTTATAGAAAAGAAAAAGATGGTCTGTGAAAAAAGGTTTGGATTTGTGAAGGTAGATTTTAATTAAAACAAGGCAGGATCTGTTCAAAGTAGACTGGGAACAGATACTTGTAGGAAAATCTTTTCCAGAACAGTGGGAGGCATTTGAAAAAGAAATGGGAGACGACAGACCCATAAAGTTCCCTTCAGGATGAAACAAAATGGCAAAGAGGCCAGAGAACCCTGGATGTCTAAGAACATTCAAGATGGGATAGGAAGGAAAAGAGAGGCTTTTAGTACATACAAAGGGAGCAAATCAATACATGCCCTAATGGAGTATGGAAAGTGCAGGGGAAGACTTAAGCCAGCAATTAGGAGAACAAGGAGGGGGCATGAAGAAACATGGGAGTGAAATTAGGGAGAATCTCAAGATATTCCATAAGTATATTAAGGGGAAAGAGAATAACCAGGGAAAGAGTAGGCCCTATTGAGGACCTACAAGGTATTGTGTGTGTGGAAGCAGAGGACGTTGCCAGGGTGTTAAATGAGTATTTTCTATCAGTCCTTCCTCAGGAGAAGAAGGACATAGATACAGAATTCAGGAAGAGGGACTACGAGGCTCTTGAGCAGATTGAAATGAGTGAAGAGTTATTGGAGGTTTTGGTGAGGTTAAAAGTTGGCAAATCCCTGGTCCAGATTTGTTGTACTCCAGGCTGCTGTGGGAAGTGAGGGTGGAAATTACAGGAGCTATGTCCCAAAGTTACTAGAGATAAACCAGGGAATTCCAAACTAGCAACTCTCACATCAATTGCAGTGCAACTATTGGAGAAACTTCTGGAGAATTCATCCCTACTTTGAGAAGTGAGGTTTGATCAGGAATAGTCAGTGTGGCTTTGTCAGAGGGAGATTAAGCCCAACAAATCTGATGAAAATGTTTGAGGAAGTGATCAGATGTGTTCATGAGTTGACATATTTATATGGATTCGTGGAAAACCTTTGTCAAGTTTCCACATGGGAGACTGATGGAGGAGGTAAAAACCACATGGGATCCAGGGTAACATGGCAAGTTGGATTCAAAACTGGCTTAGTGGCAGGAGATAGAGGGTTGTGGTAGAAGGCTGTGTTCAGTGGCAAAGCACAGGAATCATGCTGGGTCCCTTATTATGCATAATATATGTGAATGATATAGATGAGAATGTTGGGATGGTTCATAAGTAAGTTTGCAGATGCCACAAAGATTGGCAGTGTCGTTAGTAGTGGGGAAGATAGTCTTAGGTTACAGGAAGATGTAGCCGGGTTGGTCAGATTGGCGTATCAGTGGCAGATGGAATTTAACCCCAAGATGTGTAAGGTGATGCACTTTGGAAGAAGTAACAAGACAAGAGCGTACTCAATGAATGGCAGGATACTAGGAAGCTCTGAGATCAACGGATCCCTGAAAGTGTCATGACAGGTTAATAGGATAGTTAGGAAGGCACATGGAACAGGTGCATTTATCACTCATGGCACAGATTATAAGAGCAGGGACGTTATGTTGGAGCTCTATAAACCTTTTGTCAGGCCACAGCTGGAGTACTGCGTGCAGTTCTGGTCATCAGATTCTGGGATGGATGTGATAGCACTGGATGGTGTGCAGAAGAGATTCACCAGGATATTGCCTGGGATGGAGTATTTTAGGTATTATGACAGGCTGGATAAGCTCTGATTGTTTCCTTTAGGGTACAGAAGGTTGAGGTGTTTAAGATTATGAATAGCATGGACACGAGAATAGGAAGCAGCTCAACTAAGGGGAGAAAAGGTCAATAAAGAAGGGGAATAATTATAACGTGAAGGGCAGGTTTAGAGGGAATATGAGGTTAAAAAAAGAAGAGGTTGGTGGGAATCTGGATTACACTGCTGAGAAGGGTAGTAGAGGCAGGAAACCTCAATCTTTATAAAGTACTTGGATAGCAGTTGCAGTCTATTAACAGTCGAGGCTATGGGCCAAATGCTGGAAAATGAGATCAGTACAGATTGGTCGCCACAGCCTCAAAGGACTGAAGGGCCTCTCCTGTGCTGCATGACTCTGTGATAACATCACACAAAAAAACCACAAAAATGGTTGCTTTGTTCATCTAATTGAATTGATTAGCCATTTTTGTTGTTTTAAAATCCCATAAGTACTTTAATTGGCTAAAACAGAAGTTGTACAAGTGCTGCGGGCTGGGCCGTGTTGTTCAAAGTTATGAAAATATTGAATATTACAACAGAAAATGAAAAGCAAAAGCTGCACATTTTCTGCATAAACCAGCTGATCCAACTGCACTGTCTTTCTCATTCTCCATACACCTTCAACATTCATCTTAGAAAGCAATACCAAGTCAACATGCAAATAAAATACAAATGGAAAGTGTCCAAGTTTTTGTAGATTAAGACAACAGACGTTTGCACAGCAAGAAAGCAGATTAAAATCTAGAGTTGCAGATGGATAATAATTTGGGGGCGACACAGTGACTCAGTGGTTAGCACTGGTGCCTCACAGTGCCAGGGACCTGGGTTCGATTCCACCCTCGGGTGACTGTCTGTGTGGAGTTTGCACATTTTCCCTGCGTCTGCGTGGGTTTCCTCCGGGTGCTCCGGTTTCCTCCCACTGTCCAAAGCTGTGCAGGCTAGGTGGATTGGCCATGCTAAATTGCCCATAGTGTTCAGGGATGTGTAGATTAGGTGGGTTATAGGGGGATGGGTCTGGGTGGGATGCTAGGAGAGTCAGTGTGGACTTGTTGGGCCGAAGGGCCTGTTTCCACACTGTAGTGATTCTATAACATTTGTAGATATACTAAATAACCAAAGCTTCCTCCATTTTTAGGTAACTGATCAAATACTGATCAGTATTGTCTTTAAACAGAAAGTAAGTTTCAATAAGCAACCAACTTCTTCCCCTACCATGCAAAATCATAATATAAACATGCTGTATACAGCAAGAGAGGAATGAACTGAAAGCAGAGCATACAATAAGTGGGGATATCTTTCTTGAGATTTCAAGGTGCATTCCTGGCATTTTAGAGTTGAAGGCTAAGCATTCATCTTTAATAATAGATCAATACTGTGACATGTTAGAAATGTATTTATAATGTTAAATATTTATAAACAGCTAAAAAGTGAAGAACACATCCTTTGAATATGCTTTTCAGGTGATTATTTTCCAATTCTCATCAGGACATTCACTTTAGCCTTGTTCTTCCTGTGAAAATTTCCACCTAGGCCAATATCACAATTGTCTATATTTCACCATTTTTGTGACAAAGAGTGAAATGGCCACTCCACAGAAAAGCCTAGGAACTAAAACACAAAATTTTCCACTTTTATACACTTGATATAGAACCCTTGACAACAAGAAGCACTTAATGACTGAAACCATTCATGCAGATGAAGCCCACATTTTTGCTTTCATTCACGTTAATGAACAGAAAATGATGGGTGCATGTTCCAGGTAGGTATGGCTCCAGGTTAGGTATATGTAAACAGAAATTTTACACTAAGTTTTAGGTCGTTCTTTGGACAAACTTACTAAAACAGAATGATTTGGGCACATTAATTAGGAAGTTTTTTTTTCATTTATTCATGGGATGAGGGTGTTGCTGACCAAACCAGCATTTATTTCACTTCTCAAATTTCCCTTGAGAAGGTGATGGCAAGCCACTTTTGTGAACTGATGCAATGTATTTGATTACACCCACAATGTTGTTAGGGAGGGAGTCCAGTATTTTGACTCAGCAACTGTGAAGGATTAGCAATATAGTTCCAAATCAGATGGTATGTGGCTTAGAGAGGAACTTGCATTTGGGTAGTATTCCCATGTATCCCACTACTTTTATCCTTCTAGGTAGTAAAGATTGCGGGCTTGGAAAGGGCTGTCTAGCCAATCTTGATGAGTTGTTACAATGCATCTTGTTGATGGTACACAATACTGCCACTGTCCCTGGATGTGAAGGGAGAAAATGTCGAAATTGGTGGATGGAGTGTCAATCAAGTGGGCTGATTTGTGCTGGATGGTGTCAAGCTTCCCGAGTATTGCTGGAGTTGCGCTCACCCAGGGACTTGTGTCTCACAAATGATGAACAATCTTTGAGGAATCAGGAGGTGACTTACTTTTGGCAGAATTCCCAGCTTCCAACCTGCTCCTGTCGCCACAGTAGTTAAATGACTGGTCCAATTCAGTTTCTGGTCAATAGGAACCCCCAGAATATTAAAAATAGGATTTGGGAGATTGTTGGAGATGGTTATTGCTTGGCACTTGCGTGGCACAAATGTTACTTGCTACTTATCAGCTCAAGTCTGAATATTGTCCATTTCTTACAGCACGTGGGGACAACCGCTTCAGCATCCAGAGCCATAAATTTGGTGAATATTGTGTGATCATCTCTGAACATCCCCAATTCTGACTTTACAATGGAGGAAAGTTTATTAATTAAGCAGTTGGAGCTGGTTGGGTCTAGGTTACTACCCAAAGAACTGCTGCAGTGATGTCCCGGAACTGAGACGATGGATTTCCAACAAACAGCAGAGCTCTCTCCCCGCTTCCTGTTGGCTCCATTTTTGATTGAGCTCCTTGATGCCACACTCGTTTAAAGGTAGCCTTGATGTCAAGGGCAGTCATCCTCATTGGAGTTTGATGTTTTTGCCCATGTTTGGACCAAGTTAGTAATGAAGGAAGGCACTGAGTGGGCCTGGATGAGTCCAACTAAACAATAGTGAGCAGGTTATTGTTACATACGTGCCATTTGATATCACTGTTGACAGCACCTTCCATCACATTGCTGATGATTGAAATTGTGTCATAATTGGCCAGGATGGATTTGACCTGGTTCTGTGAACAGGATACACCTGAATAATTTCTACATTGCTAGGTGGTGCCAGTGTTGGAACTATGCTGAAACAGGTCACATGGAGGCGTGCTTGTTCTGGAGCAGAAGTCTTCAGTGCCATTGCTAGAATGTTGTCAGGGCTCATAGCATTTGCAATAAGTTCAAATGTTTCTTTATATCATGTGCAGTGAATCAAATTGGCTGAAGGCTAACATCTGTGATGTTGGGGGGCTCAGTAGGAGGCAAGATGGATCATTCTCTTTTATACAGTTTATCTTTTCATTAATCTAATTGTCTCATTTCTTGCTTAGCTTATTATTAATCTGTTCATACCTTATTGCAATAAGGACATTCACCAAAGATGACGTTAAAGCTCTGTCTTGAGTAAGGCAGCCCTCGTAACCACTGCAGAATTGAACATTTCAACAATTATCAAAATAGTGTCAGATAATATGTTAAGAAGCTTAATGCAGTACACAAAGAAACAAGTTATAACTCGTTTTTTTGAGATGTGTTTTTAATTCTACTCACTTCATAAAGGCATTCTTGATGGAACGGCTGACCACAGCGTGGGTCATCACATACTTGATCTGGTATGGATGACGCCAGACGGTATGCATAACAGATTCCACATTCCATACTGAAACTCTGTCAAATAAATAAATATAGTCAAGAAAGTGGGCTTCTTTTAAGAATTCATCTACACTGCCTGGACTATAAACTCCAAAGAACAAAATCACTTTGCTAAACACAATATTCTACATACATTAGGTTTAAAAAGTACTGACAATATCTGCTCCCTCCGACAAACTTCAAATAGCATTGACAGTACTTGGAACAAAAACAAAGTTGCTGGAAAAGCTGAGCAGGTCTGGCAGCACCTGTGAAGGAAGAAACAGAGTTAACGTTAACTCCGGACCTGAAATGTTAACTCTGTTTTTTCCCCTTCAGATGCTGCCAGACCTGCTCAGCTTTTCCAGCAACTTTGTTTTTGTTCCTGATTTACAGCATCCGCAGTTCTTTCGGTTTTTATTTTGATAGTACTTGGGCTCTGCCTAGAGGACAAGCAGAACACCTCAATTAAATAATTTCTCCAACTTTTTCCTTGTAACTACAGCTTGCTCATATGCTTTTCACCAACATAATCATTGCAGGTTCCCAAGAATTACTTTTGGAAACGTCTGTTTTCACAAATAAAAACCACAGAAGTCAAAGACTTTTTTGCCCAACAGTAAGTATTAAGGTGAAAACTATGAAAAATCTAAATGGACTCAAAGCTGAATGACAACAAAACAGTCAATATTTGAATGATTATTTCATCCAAGTGACAAAATGATCAACAAAATCTCCCCAATTTAAGATATGTTGGGTAAAATTAACAGCTTTGATAATAAATGGAAGAACTAGAAAGAATACAAAACAATTCAAAACAAATATATTCACAGACATATATTTAATCCTTCACACCCCACGTCCTGCAAGGACTCAATCCCATTCTCCCAGTTTCTTTGTCTACATCGCATCAGTTTGGATGGTGCAACCTTCCAAAACAGCATTGCTGAAATGTCTTCCTTCTTCCATGACCGTAGTTTCCCACTCATTGTGGTTGACAGGCCCCTCAACCACATCCGACCTATCACCCGTGCTTCCGGCCTTGCCCCTTCCCATCACTCACAACAGCATGATGGCATCCCCCTTGTCCTCACTTTTCATCCCACCAGCCTCCACATTCAAAAGATCATTCTCCGCCATTTCAGACAACTCCAGAATGCTACTAACAAGCACATCTTCCCCTCACTCCACCTGTCTGTATTTCACAGGGATTGTTCCCTCTAGGACACTCTAGTCCATTCCTTGAGCACAAACGCCACCCCTCCTTCCCACAGTACCTTCCCATGTAACTGCAGAAGGTGCAACATCTGCCCCTTCGCCTCTTCACTGCTCTCCATCCAAGGGCCTAAACAGTCTTTCCAGGTGAAGCAGCTCTTCCATCTTATACATTGTATTCGCTGCACCCAATGTGGCCTAACCTACATTAGAGGAACCAAACATAGACTGGTCTGTACATGGGCATGACCCCAGCCTTCCCATAGTTGATCATTTTCACACAGCGTCATGCTCATATGCGCAATTGTCTATCTTTTGCATGTTGCAGTGTTCTAGTGAATCACAGCGCAAACTGGAGGAACAACATCTCATCTTTACAACTAGGTACTTTACAACCTTCTGGTCTCAATATTGAGTTCAACACATTCAAATTGTGAATCAACTCCCATTTCTTCCCATTCTTTTAGCTTTACCTGTTACATTTTCTGTCACCATGACCTCTCTCCCCTCCACCCCCCCAGTGAGACTGTCTGTTCTTTCCAGTCTAGCAATTAGACACACCATTGTTTTGCCATTCTCACATTTCTGATCACTTAATCTGAACTATCAACATCTTTTCTCCACCAGCGCTCTACACCCCATCACTGCCAACACCCCCTCCCAACCAAAGCATAAATGCTGCCCCCTCCAGACTTCACTTCATCTCTGATGAAGAGTCATCCGAACTCAAAACGTTAACTTGCTCCCTCTCCATGGATGCCGTCTGACCCCACTGTGATCTCCAGCATTTGTTGTCTCAGTACAGAATCCAGCATCTGCAGCAATTTGCTCCTACATAGTGCTGAGTGTGATGAACAAGGAGCTCTAAAGTACTGACTATCAAAATGAAGAAGTCAATGGGAACAGAGAGAGCATCCTTGGATTGTAAACATGGTACCCATATTGAAATAGGATGACAAAACAAGCTTGGGCAACCTCACTTACTTCCAATCCACATCAAATAAAGGGTTGTGGAAATAATCTCGACAATTATCTGTAGGTAATACATCAATTAACTGGAACTTGGAAGAGGAAATCTGACCTCACCAAACTCATCAATTTCTTTGAAGAAAGTGATAATCCAAGTAGATTTATGACCGTGTACATTTTGACTAGATTTTCTGTGAAAAGCAATTAATTTAACTCAGGTGCACCTCGATGTAATATCTCATTAATGTGTTTTGGTTAAGACATCAAACCAAGGTATCATTTGCTTTCCCAAGTAGACCCAAGATTCTAGGTCATTATTCAAAGAAAGAAGGGGATCTCCTCTCAATTACAGATTAATATTTATCCATCAACCAACATCAGAAAAAGTGAAGAATTGTTCATTGTCCATATAACTGCCTGTCAGATCTTACCCTGCCATGTCTTAGGTAACAATTAACAGGACTTTGAAAGTAGTCATTGGTAGTACAAAACTTGATTATTGCTGAAAGACAGATCTTGTTGAAGCTTTTTTGTCTTACACTCATCAGGACAACATGCATGAAATACCAAAGTGAAGGGAAAATAACATTTATACTGCACAGGACAGGCGGGCTAGTTGGTTGGCAATTTGCACTCTAATTGATCAAAATATCACCATGGAAAATACACCAATTAATCATGACTGATAGTCAACTATCAAGCACTGTTTAAATTTTAAATCAGGTAGGTTAATTCTGATTGGTCAAGTCATTACCCTGAAGAATGAACCAGAGAATGGATGTTGAAGCCCAGTCACCAAATACGTTTGTGAAAGAACAAATGGCTCCAGTCCTAATTACTAATTTGCTGATAAGGCCTATCCTATAGCATGTGGAAGTGTCGGAATCCCTACACTATATTGACTGGGAAGGTATATTCGCAGTCGACAATTGTAGAAAGCCCCTAACTGATTTCTTAACAGGGCTATCAACAAAATGTCTATTTTCTTTTTCCCCAGCAATACTTAAAAAGTAATTTATTTGCTACTAAGTACTTTAGAATATGAAATGAAACTGAGATATATATGTATTTTAATATCTTCACTGCAGGCTGGGGTTCTTGGAATTCAAACCGAACCATATGCGTTTTTTCTGTACTTAGTTAACAATTGGCTTTAAAAAGTTACAATAGCCATAATTCCAAATGAGAGAAAGTTACACAAAGTTTCTAGGGAACAATTCAGAGGAGCTGGGGGAAAACTTCCCAAACTTGATTTTCTTACTTACTCTGCGCTGGGAGGTTATGAAATAGGTGTCAAGTGCTGAAGTGCTGAGAAGTCTTTTGATGCAGTGACACCTGCTACAGCAGCATTCCAAAATAAAGGAGTTTAAAGTAATGAAATTATCTTAGCATAAAAGGTTATTATTAATTTCAGACCAGAGTGTTGGGATACAGTTGACAGTTGGGAAAACTAGTGAGGTTAAGTTTTTGAAGTTTTAAAAGAAAAGAATTAAAGCTATGTGAGAGATAGGACAGCACTTGAAAGAAGCTAAGTCAGAAGCATACTAATAACAATTAAGAAATAGTTATCTACAATTCCAGCAGATGAGTTGAAATTTTAATTACTTTAAGCCCATCAAAGTATTAAAAAAAGAGAGTATCTCTCTCCCTTGGTATTGAGCTAGACAGTGTTTTGCTGTTGGCAAAGCACTAGATGTTCTAAGAAGCGCAACGATGTTTGAAAAACATACCAGTGCATACTGATTACGATACGAAACTGTTGTTTCTGTTCAATTTATAATGAGTGCTTGGATTATTTCTAATTTGTATTTAAAAATCTTTGAATCAGTGTTATAAGGGAATAGAATGGTTTTGTTTCTTGTTTATCTTAGTGTCTGTAGTTAATAAACTTCTGTTTAGTTTTGTTATTAAAACAAAGATTGAAACATTGCATGCTTATATTTTATTAAAAGACCAATTTGATTACAAAAATTACGATCAAGCCACGTCCCTGTCAGGAATCTGACTCGTCTGGTAATATCATCAACTAGGTTACAACTGGAAGCAGCTGATCATAATTGAATGTCACACGGATGTTACAAGACACACTACATAAATGTAAGCTCTTTTTTTACATCTTGGCTAAGAAACTACTTACTAGAAATATAATGTCAGAGGAGAATCAGGTAACAAGTGAGATGATTTGGAACTTGCCACTATTGTTTCTCATTCACAAAGTGCCCTGATTGAAAACATAGGCTAGATCATATATTGAGGGTAGGTTCCATGCACCTCTGCAAAATTTCAGGGGAGAACATGCCTCTATTTAGTTGCCTCACACGGTTTTAGTTTCCCAGGCAATGGCCCTTTGATTCTCCACAAAGATATTCCATTTCATGGAGCTGCTGGTCTCAATTGAAGGCTGAGACCTCTGTACACTGACCGCCCCTGGACAACTAGAGAGATTAGTGATACATGCTAAGGAGGTGGTTTTGAGTGATGGACAAACTTTAGCTATGTCTGGGATCTCATTGTGACAGGCCCAAGAAAGAGAGGGATGGTGGGCATATTGGACAGGGCAGGAGTGAGGGCATGGTTGTGCAGTTTCAGAAATGCAAAAAGGGGCCTCTGATTGGCATTTGCAACCTGACAAGAGGCAGCTTACCTCTTTAAATGATAGCAGACCAAATGGCTAAACTTGTAATTTGAGTGCAGGCCTTTCTTGCTGACCATTAAATCAGAGTGATAGCAGGATGAGGTCTTACCTGGACATTAATTGACCACTCAACTGGGCCAATGTCAGGTCATCCATTCAGTGCCTCTGCCATTACTTATAAAATTGCAGTGTGGGTGGGGATGTATGGCCTAATGGTCTGCAATGCCAATGCATGGTATTTTAAATTACTGATTGACCTGGTCTGCTTTCCCACTCACAGATGACCCAAATTTAGCCCAATTTAAAATTAGTCAAACTGGTAGGTGGGTTAGTTGGTAAATGGGATTAAAATGCTTTGGAAAGACAAAGAACAAAAGTTACATTTACATTGTGCTTTTCTTGACCCAATGATGACCCGAAATAGTCTACGAAGTAGGTTTAATGTATAGCAACTTGTAAGGTGGTCAATTTGTATACACGAAGGTAACATAAACAACAATATGAAAATGACTAGATAATCTATTTTACTAAATTTTTTAATTAATTTATGGGATGAGGGCATCACGGCTAGGCCAGTATTTATTGCCCATCCATAAATGCCCACAGGGCTGTAAAGAATTAACCACACTGCTGTGGGTTTAAAACCACATGTACGCCAGACCAGATAAGGATGGTAGATTACCTTCTCTAAATGGCATTTACTGATCCAAGTGGGTTTTTATTGACAATAGGCAGTATTTATGCTCACTATTCGGCAAGCTCTTCATTCCAGATTTTTAAAATTGAATTCAAATTTCATTTTCTGTCATGATGTGATTATGAACCATTATCCCAGGGTTTTGGCTCATCAGTCCAGTGATATTACCGCCACAGCACTGATCCCCTATTCTTAAAGGATACATACTGCTTTTCCAGGATGTTGGCACAGACATGAAAGATTGAATGACCTCTTTCTGACCTTTAACCATTCTATGATTCCGTCACCAATGCACAGGGAACTGCTAGCTCCAGACTATATAAATGGTATTAACAAATGGAATGTAATATGAGTCAAGTACTCTCAAGTAGGAAGATACACATACCACAAATGATCTTTCAATTCCTAAGAAAACAAATTAAGCAAACATTAGGGAGTCTTTGTTGACTCCATGATAAACATGTAGAGCTGCAAACACCAAAGCCTGTCGAATGTGGAACAAATCCAAGACAGTTGATTAGAAGTCAGAAGATAAATAGTAAAGCATCAGTGCTCTAGTCAGATTGCAGCTTGAACACTGCATACTGTTCCAACCTCTAAATAAGACAGACCTGGCATGAGGGTTGGGTTGGGAGGCATGCGAGGTAAAAATCAGGATAATTTTATGAAAAGATGGTGTTTCTGAGATGGCAAAGTTGAAAATCTACCTCCTTTAGAGTTGGAGAAATGTGGCAAGCCAAAGACTGATCCATATCAAGTGTTAGATTTAGCAGAAAATACTCGAGGGCTAGGGACTTTTCAGTCTAAAAAGGAAATGGAACACATGATCCCACAAAAAAGTTACTCATTGGACAGAACATGAGTTAACATGTACAGAATATTATTTTATTTTTCAAGAGCTGATGAAGGATCAGAGATTGAATCTAGTAAAAGGCTAATATTAGAACTGAAATCAAAAAGTCTTCCTTCACACACACACACACACACACACACACACACACACAGAGGTTGCTGAACATGTGGAATAAAGTCCCAATTTTATGCTGATAAAGTCTGGAATAGTTGAATGCAACACTGGAAGGACTTGAGGAGCTTTCTAGATCGATGGGCATAGGAAAAAAACAAATTACTTCCTGATCTGTAATTATCTTCCACCCTTTTAACATGATGTGACAGTGAGAAGCCTTTGGTTTCAGCTGAGTAGAACAACAATTTAATGGGCTTAAAAAGCAATTCACAATTCACTGGCTAGCTGGAAGGAAAAAAGTCACTTTTGACAAATTATAAGGCAAATGTCAAGGAAATAAATACTCCAAGGGAAATAAATATAAAGTATTCTGAAAATCAGCTCCTCGCCTAATGAGCATTATTGTCCAGAAAGCATGTAGGTAACATTTGAAGTTTAACTTCATCCAAGGCAGCATCAAATATTAATTGAATATTAAGCTAATAAATACATTTTCCAAAAGCCTTCCTTGGAGTTATGCTCCAAAAAGTTCTAATTTTAACTAAAAGTATTTCAACTGCACATGCATTTTAGTGTTTTTACAGCATACAGATTTAGGAGTTTATTTCATGTACAAAGTTTTTCTAGCTTTGTAATAATAATTGCATTTGTTTTCATAGAAAACTGCTAGATACATAGTTTGCAGTTATGGTTCCTGTAGAATGGAGAAATATACATACATTTCCCATGCACCATTGCTATTAGAGCATCCAGTGATCAGATATCAATGCCATTTCCTTACTAGCAAGAAGGTATAAAAGAGATTCATACTTGAAGGCATTTTCATCCTGTCCAAGGTAGAGTTTATTAGTAAAGTGTAGGAGTGACCAGTCTGTGTGACTAGCAATGTTCTTCTAATAATGCATCTTTGGAGTGGTATACAGCCATGAGACCGGAAGTGAGAAATGAAGTGGTAAAGCTTTCTTAGCTATTGGGTTCCTGCTACAAGGTGTCCATTTTGTCAGAAATAAATTAAATCCACATTCACACAATAATTTCAGCCTACTTATAAGATTGATTAGTTATATTTGTAGCATAACTTATAAATCTTTGAGAAGTAACACATTTGCATGCTGTGATTACAGCCTCCCTTTATAGCAGCAACAATGTAAGGATACTTCAGTTCTGAAGAAATCATACCAGACTCAAAACATTAACACTGAGTTTCTTCAGCATTCTGTGTTTGTAAGCATGTTTAACTGACAGACTAAGAATTTTGCTTTGATAGTAACTTTTAGAAATGAAAACACTTGAATATATGATGAACAGCACAGGCTTTTGACATGCAAAACAATTTTTAGTGCTTTAAATAGCCTACTGCCTTCACTTTACCTCAATTTATATGGAGGGCTATTTCCAGTTTACAGGTGAAGCTTACACAAAATATTGTCCTAAAGAAAAACATTTATACAAATACTTTTAGAGTTTTGTGTACTCCCACAATTTTTTTCAATGCTGCAGTAATTTGCAAAAACTTCATGTGAAAACTTTAGACATCTTTCACACCATTGAAGCCATATACATATTTTAAAAGCTGGATATAGCCCCCAGTAAACTGCATTATCTGCAAATTTTAGTTTTCTCTAATGAATGATCAGACAGCGGTTGTAACTTACAGACTTCTCATGGGTGTCTGGGGATGGAAAGTCTACCTCCAACATATTCTTTAGATTTTCCAGCACGGTGCACTCTGGAGACCTGGAAAGCATATCCTGTATTTAATTGCAAAGATTTTCCTTGAACCATGAGGTGCAAAAGACAATTTCTTTTCATCAAGTGCTCTGATGAGACCAATATTTGAACACTGCTTACCAAAGATGCATGTTGGTGTTCAGCTTATTTCTCAATGGAGTTACCACTAGGATCAAATTAGTATGGTTATTACTTTACATTTTGAGAGCAATATGCAAAAATGTGAAAAGCAGAGCTTATTTCAAGAGGGTCACATACCATGATCAGCACCAAGGAAGCAGCATTCAGGCAACATTTTAGGATGCCTAGGATCCACCTCCACATTTATTGAAACATTGTTACCTATGAAATCCAAGAACAAGTAATTAAAATTGCTAACTAATTTAAAAAAAACAAACTTCAAACTACTGACATGCTGTCATAAAGCAAGCAGTGTAGTAAGACTACTTATATTGGAGTCTCTCCACCTCTCCTACCAAGCTTTTGGTGATTTGTCACAAATCCTTAGAAGGCACTGTTTAATTTTATCTGTTAACTCTCCTAGGAAATAACCTGCAACTTTTACGAATGAAGGTGCTATTTAATTGACACTTGCTATTGAGCAGATCATAATATTTTATAAGGACTGCCAGAAAATCGAGTAATAATTTCAATGTTTCACTTGCATACACTCAAGTGCTAAGAAAATTAGTGTAGCAGGGACCTGGTGTCAGGGACCCGGCTTCAATTTCAGCCTTGAGCAATTGTCTGTGTCAAGCTTGCATGATCCCTAGTGTCTGTGTGGATTTCCTCCCACAGTTTAAAGATGTTCAGGGTTAGGTGAATTGGCCATTTCCCCATGGTGTCCAGGGATGTTCAGGCTAGGTAGTTTAACAGTGGTAAATGCAGAGCTATAGCAATAGGCTAGTGGGCTGAGTCTGGGTGGGATGCTTCTTGGAGGGTCAGTGCAGACTTGATGGGCCAAATGGCCTCTTTCCGCACCGTAGGAATGTTATAATTAACTTGACTTTCAATGTTTCAAAGGGACAAAGAATTAATGGGCAGAATTTTCTCATTCTAAACAAAGTGAGCAACAGCGATGGTTGGAAAAAGACTGCAAGAATGGAAAAATCAGATTCATGATGTTGAGAAAAAAAATGTTAATTTTCTGCGTTTTCAATGACAAGATGATAGTTTCATTCAGAACTACAGGCTCACAATACTTCAACATCATCTCCACTAAAAGACACAAATCCAGGCAGCATGTCAGGTTTGCTAGCAATGATCAGTCAAGAGAGCAGACAAATTGCTGTATGGCATTAGTGCATTAGTTATATCTGTAATGTGTGCCGTGGCTTAAGCAGCCAACACACTGAATGGGCTTCAACTAAATACCTAGTCTCAAACTTTAAGGGGCGTGATCGTCAGTCAGATCAAAGGGGACTGTTTTCAGTCAGCTGGTACTGGAACAGTAAGTCATTATCTAACATTAGCACAGGCATTGGACATGGTCAGTCAGTCAAATGGAGTATTCATAGTCATGGGTCCCATATCCTTACAGTCCAGGGAGTGGACTACAGTCAGTCCTGGGTATTGAGTCCAACCAGTCTCAGAATGAGCAGTAACTCAGGCAGGGAGCTGCAGGTGTCAGTAAGACACTTGGTCACTCATCAGTCGAGGCTGCTGTTCCACATCAGTCAAGGGATGTCTCATGGTCAGTCCTGGGAATCTGTTCACAAAGTCAAGGGGCACAGCTGCAGTAGTCAACTTGGGAAATTAATTGTGAGAGAAATGGAGGCAGAATGCTGGGAACAGAGGAGGAACACATACAGGCACCCTATTGTCCTCCATCTTGGAGACCTTCATGTCAAATATTAGGTGGCGATGGTTTAATGTCATTTGTCTCTGCAACAGCTGATTGATCACATTACTGAGGATCTGCTTTATTTCTGATATTCTCCACATAGCCTCACTCGGGCAGTCAACAATGGATCCCGGCACAGAAGTTGTTGTCATTTCAGTGTTCACTGTACAATGGAGGTCCAAGCAAACTGATGAAGAAATCATGCATCTGGAGGCACAGGACCAGCAACAAACTCCTGCAGATGTGAAGCAGTGTCTCAATGCAAAGATCCCAGCAAAAGATCCCCTAATGATGTGGAGAAAACACGCAACGTTACACAGTCTCTTGTCTTTGATGGACTGCTGTTGAGATGAAAAAGGAAGAGTGGTGCTGCCAATGAGGATGTCCCTAGACACAAGCCTGTGTAATCTGCTGCAGCATTCAAGGTGTGCGGTGTTATAGTTTGCACAGAAGTGGTCTCAATGTCATGTCATGAGACTAGCACAAATGCAACACAACTTTACCTTCTGCTTGTGCTATGAAGGTCTCCTCAACATGAGGATTCCATGTTCGATCAGGTCTGAGGGTTTATTATAGTACAGTATAGACAGGAGATGCTACACAATCCTCTGGAAACTGAAACAGTCTGCAAGGATAAATGATGGATGTTGCAGATTTGTGACAGCTGTAGCATTTTCCCCAAGTAGAGATAGCAGAATGTTCTGCAATGCAGCAGCTGCTGTCACACCAGCCCAAACAGGACTTCTTTGGCAGCCACTTCAAATGAAACTGCAGTGGGTGAAGACATTGCTCATTGACTGTAGGTGAATTGATGCTGGAGAGGAAAGCATCCCCTATTTAATCCCAACTGCAAATGCATCTTTATTGTTCGTTTTTTCTTAACTTTTACCAAGCAACAGGAAGAGCAAAGGTTGCTAACTAATGGAAGCCTTCACAACATCTGATGCTATACAATATTTTACACTAGCATGGGCACTACAGAAAGAACAGCTATCCTTCAGACAAAAGTTATAACATTTTGTGGTGCTAAGGATGGCCACCCTCTCTACCATCATTGTTGAAGCTGCAGTTAAAATGACAGATGATCACACAGGTGATCTAACAATTACATTTATTTACAAATACAAAATTCTATTTATAATTAAATTTCACCTATGCTAACCACGTGCTCTCATAAGATATTCTTCTTCCTTTTCCTCCAAATACATCTAGGTGCAGCCCTGGGAGTTAGCAGCTGGGATGGAGGGTAACCTCTCACATAGTAGAGCTCATTGGCCTTAGGAGTTCTGTGTGAATGACCGTAAGGGCATTTGGGGCTTGTTCTGGCTCCATGCTGGTTCACCCTGCAACTTCAACTTCCACAGGGTTGAGGGTTGCAGGCAGGGTGAAAGGGCCAGGTGTCTCAGGAATATCCCAAGTGTAGACTTCAGTAAGTGGGTCTTTCTCAAAGTGGGTGTCTACTGACACCAGACTATCTCCTTGTGGGGAAGGGGCACTTGGTTCAAGGTTCCTTGCCGCCACCACACTCCATCCCCACCCACCCCACCTCACCAATTTCACAGCATATAAGACATGAAAGGAAAGTAATGAGTGATGAAAGACTAAAGCATCAGAAACCAGGAGTAACAGTAAATACAGTATGATTATCATTATTGGAGGTGTCTTACACAGAATCATAGAGATACACAGCACGGAAACAGACACTTCGGTTCAACTCGTCCATGCTGACCAGATATCTTAAACTGATCTAGTCCCATTGCCAGCACTTGGCCCATATCCCTCTAAACCCTTCCTATCCATGTACCCATCCAGATACTATTTTAATGTTGTAACTGTACCAGCCTCCACCACTTCCTCTGGCAGCTCATTCCATACAGACACCACTCTCTGCGTAAAAAAGCTGCCCCTCAAAGGACCTTTTTATATTTTTCCCCTTTCACCATAAATCTTTGCCCTTTAGTTTTGGACTCCCCTACCTTGGGGAAAAAAACCTTGGGTAGGGTGAATAGCTATGCCCCTCATGATTTTATAAGCCTCGAGAAGGCCACCCCTCAGCTTTTTTTCATAAAAAGCAGCATTCCTATAACCATTTTGTTTAAGGAAATGCTGAATAGCATATCCGTATCTGCAATATTCATATATTCTCAATGTCATTTCAGAACTAGTCAGATAGATCCATTATATATAATAAAAGATATGCACCTATGGCAATTCTGCGTGTTGTGATTGCACGTGCTGGCTTTTCTGGTTCCAGCACCCAGGTTTTCTCATCAATCTCATCCATAACATCCCAGAATTCCCGCAGTGACTCCAATGCTGCCAGAAACTGACTGTGAAGGTGTACTAAGCAGCTCTGAAAAAGAAAACATTTAACACGGAGTTATATGATGAAGCGATAGGGAAGGTTAATGAACATAGTGCTGATGATTCGAATATGAACTATAAAGCACCACATAATAAACTGTTAGCAAAATTGAAATCCATGGGATTAAAGGGACAATTATAGTCTGGATACTAATTTGACTTAAAAGGCAGAAGGCAGAGAGATTTGGAGAATGTCTGTTTTTCAGAATAGAGGTGTGTATACAATAATATCCCCAGGAGGAAATGTTTGAGACTGAAATATTATTTCCTGACTGAATTAATTTCAAAAATTCCAGTCCAGGCAAAATACACACAATAACCCCAGCAGTAGTGTGGTAACAGACACAGAATAAAGGCCTGGATTCTGACGTATAAAATGGATTTAATCTCTCCTTTAACATATTTATTGCCTCGGGGACATTTTGTTGGGTGGAGAGTGACACAGTTAGGGATCCCTGCTGCTTTCTCACTGCCAACTGAATTAAGTCCATGCTGGAAATGACAGATTTCAGCCTTTCCTCTGTGCTGTCAATGGAGGCCCTTAACTGGGCAATTAATGGTTACTTAAAGGGCACCACCATGTCACCACTTCTGTTAACCCAGTGGTGCACCACAGGCTCTTTATGCCAGTAGCAGGATAAGCAAACTTTGTGCCGATTTGCTTACAATCTCCTGGAAATGGATGCCACACAAAGGCAGGATTGAGGGGCCCAACGTGAAGAGGGGGAGGGACTCACTAACAGCCACCCCTGGCTCCTGTTGCGGACTCCCCTCCACTGCACTACTGCATTCCTGCAGCCTTGAATCCAGTGTTAACACTGCGTTGGTTGACTGTCACACTAGCAGCAGGCACTGCCTCCCTGGTAGCACTGCCATTTATTCGAGTTACTGATGTCATTTGCTGGCAGTGTGTGACTTCTACTCCAAGCGTAGTCCAGCCACTATCCAGTTAAATGCCCACGTGTCGCTTAATAAGTTGGTCTTCCCTAAAAAAAAAGCAACAGTGTTCTCGCTGGCTTTCCAGCCTGCTGGCAAGATCCCCAACACCTCCATTAAATACCACCTATATGTCTAGTACAACAGAAGAAGCCTCAAGGCTTAAGCAGAGCAGTGTCAAAGCTCTGTCAAACATCATTGCTTGCATTAGAAGGACTGAACCACAAGAAACACCAGAGGAACTGACTGCTCACAGAGACTGTGTGTGAAGCATATGGTGACAAAATGAATCAGATGCAAGGGGTCTAACTGTGTTGCTTTCAGCAGTATCTACAGGAAAAGGCAACTGGTCCCCTAAATGCTGCTGCTTGTGACTCAGGAGAAACTAAACATTCAAGTGCAGTTCACTGATGCGCAGCCACCTGGTATTTATAGCCCACAGGCAATGTACATTGGCTGCGACCTCCTGATCCACTGTTAGTTAGCGTGTTGCCCTTCATTACGGATTGTCAGCATGGTGCTTTTACAGCAACCAAGGACTATTTGGAAAATAACTGCCAAACAGGCAGTAGAAATTGGAGAAACAAAAAGACAGAAACAGAGAGAGAGAGAGAGAGAGAGAGAGAGAGAGAGAGAGAGAGAGAGAGAGAGAGAGGGAGAGAGAGAGAGGGAGGGGGGGGGGGGGGGGGGGGTGGTGGAGAGAGAAACACAGAGTAAGAGACAAACAGTGATAGAGTCATAGAGTTATACAGCATGGAAACAAACCCTTCGGTCCAACTCATCTATGCCGACCAGATATCCTAAATAAATCTAGTCCCATCTGCCAGCATTTGGCCCATATCCCTCTAATCTCTTCCTATCATGCACCCATCCAGATATCTTTTAATTGTTGTATACAAAGCAAGGCAAGTGGCAAAGGTGTCAGTGGGGGGAGCACTTTGGGGTAAGCACTCTTAATTCTATTAGAATTAAAATAGTTATGCAAAAGGATAGACCTGATCTAAAATGTAACCTGATCAGTACTTGGAACTACAATGTTGTGGCCATTATGGAGACTTGGATAACACAGGGGCAGGAATGGTTGTTGGATGTTCTGGGGTATAGATGTTTCAAAAGAAATAGGGAGGGAGGTATAAGAGGTGAGGGAGTGGCATTGCTAATCAGGGATGGTATCACAGCGGCAGAAAGGGAGGTTGTGGAGGAGGGTTTCTCCACTGAGTCAGTATGGGTGGAAGTCAAAAACAGGAAAGGGACAGTCACTTTATTGGGAGTTTTCTATAGACACCCCAATAGCAACAGAGACACTGAGGAACACATTGGCAGACAGATTTTGGAAAAGTGCAGAAGTAATAGGGTTGTTGTCATAGGCGACTTCAACTTCCCTAATATAGACTGAAACCTCCAAAGTGCAAATAGTTTGGATGGAGCAGATTCAGTATGTAATTAGTTCGACTTGAGGGGAGGCTATATTGGATTTGGTGCTTGGCAACGAACCAGGCCAGGTGTCAGATCTCTCGGTGGGAGAGCATTTCAGCAACAGTGATCACAACTCCCTGACCTTGACTATAGTCATGGAGAGGGATAGGAGCAGACGGTATGGGAAAGTATTTAATTGGGTGAGGGGGAATTACAATACTATTAGGCAAGAACTACGGAGCACCAATTGGGATCAGACGTTCTCAGGGAAATGCATGACAGAAATGTGGAGGTTGGTTAGGAAGCAGTTGCTGCAAGTACTGGATAGGTTTGTCCCACTGAGGCAAGGAAAGGATGGTAAGGTGAAGGAACCTTGGATGACAAGACATGTGGAACACCTAGTCATGAGGAAGAAAGAAGCTTACTTAAGGTTGAGGAAGCAAGGATCGATCGGGGCTCTAGAGGTCTACAAGGTAGCCAGGAAGGAACTGAAGAATGGACTTAGGAGAACCAGAAGGGGGTATGAGAAAACCTTGGCGGGTAGAATCAAGGAAAACCCCAAGGTGTTCTATGCTTATATAAGGAACAAGAGGATGGCCAGAGTGAGGGTAGCGACAATCAGGGATAGTGGAGGGAACTTGTGCGTGGAGTCAGAGAAGGTAGGGGAGGACCTTAATGAATAATTTGCTTCAGGATTCACCAGTGAGACGGACCTTGACGTTTGTGAGGGCAGCATGAAACAGGCAGATATGCTCGAACAGGTTGATGTTAGGAAGGAGGATGTGCTAGAAATTTTGAAAAACATGAGGATAGATAAGTCCCCTGGGCCAGACGGGATATACCCAAGGTTTCTACGGGAAGCGAGGTAAGAGATTGCTGCCCCTTTGGCAATGATCTTTGTGTCCTCACTGTCCATTGGAGTAGTACAAGAAGATTGGATGGTGGCGAATGTCATTCCCTTGTTCAAGAAAGGGAATAAGGATAATCCTGGAAATTACAGACCGGTCAGTCTTACTTCTGTGGTGGGCAAATTATTGGAGAGGATTCCAAGAGATAGTATTTATGATTATTTGGAAAAGCACAGTTTGATTAGAAATAGTCAGCATGGCTTTGTGAAGGGCAGGTCATGCCTCACAAGCCTTATTGAATTCTTTGAGGATGTGACAAAACATATTGATGAAGGTAGAGCAGTGGATGTGGTGTATATGGATTTTAGCAAGGCACTTGATAAGGTTCCACATGGTAGGCTCATTCAGAAAGTAAGGAGGCATGGGATTGAGGGAAATTTGGTTGTCTGGATATAGAATTGGCTGTCCAATAGAAAACAGAGGGTGGTAGTAGATGGAAAGTATTCAGCCTGGAGCTCAGTGACAAGTGGTGTGCCGCAGGGATCTGTTCTGGGACCTCTGCTCTTTGTGATCTTTATAAATGACTTGGATGAGGAAGTGGAAGGGTGGGTTCGTAAGTTTGCCAATGACACAAAGGTTAGTGGAGTTGTGGGCAGCGTGGAGGGCTGTTGTAGGTTGCAACGGGATATTGACAGGATGCAGAGCTGGGCAAACAAGTGGCAGATGGAATTCAACCCAGAAAAGTGGGAAGTGATTCATTTTGGAAGGTCGAATTTGAATGCAGAATACAGGGTTAATGGCAGAATTCTTGGCAGTGTGGAGGAACAGAGGGATCTTGGGGTCTATGTCCATAGATCCCTCAAAGTCGCTACACAAGTTGATAGGGTTGTAAAGAAGGCGTCTGGTGTGTTGGCTTTCATTGGCAGGGGAACTGAGTTTGAGAGCCGAGAGGCTATGCTACAGCTCTATAAAACTCTGGTTAGACCACACTTGGAATATTGTGTTCAGTTCTGGTCATCTCAATATAGGAAAGATGTGGAAGCTTTAGAAAGGGTGTACAGATATACCAGGATGCTGCCTGGACTGGAGGGCAGGTCTTACGAGGAAAGTTTGAGGGAACTAGGGCTTTTTTCATTGGAGCAAAGAAGGATGAGAGGTGACTTGATAGAGGTATACAAGATGATGAGAGGCATAGATACAGTGGATAGTCAGAGACTTTTTCCCAGGGTGGAAATGACTATTATGAGGGGGCATAATTTTAAGGTGATTGGAGGAAGGTATAGGGGAGATGTCAGAGGTAGGTTCTTCACACAGAGAGTGGTGGGCATGTGGAATTCGCTGCCGGCAGTGGTAGTACAGTTAGATACTTTAGAGACTTTTAAGCGACTTTTGATTAGGCACGTGGAGGATAGTAAAATGTAGGGTATGCTGGGTAGTTTGAGCTTAGTAGGATAATAGGTCAGCACAACATCGTGGGCCGAAGGGCCTGTACTGTTCTATGTTCTATAAAAGATAAACTTTAAATTGAAGTTAGGCCAATTTTGAAAGTATTAGGCCGGAACTTTCAAAAGTTGATTAGGGGAGGCTTTTCACAGGGAATGGGACAGTTGAAAAGTATTTGCCTTCAAAAATGAGATAACAACAGCTCAGAGACAATATGTTCTTGTTAGGGTGAAGGGCAAGGCTGGTAGGTGTAGGGAATGCTGGATGACTGGAGAAATTGAGGCTCCCGTCAAGAAAAAGGAGGATGCATATGTCAAGCATAGACAGCTGGGATCAAGTGAATTCC